CTGCGACGGATGGCTTAAGCATATGCGATTGAGTAAGCCGAGCGGGTGCGTACGTCCATATGTTCCATCCGTTTGTATCCAGGAGAATCGAACACATTGCGTGGACCTTTTCTTCGAAAGCGAGTAGCTCTTCGGGGGTTACACGAAGGTTAACATTGTTAGTCGAACACACATCGGAGTATTCGACCGGGTTCTGATGCGGTGTATCTTCGAAGGGGTTCTGGAGAATGCGCTTCACAGTCGCTCGCCATAGCGTACAGACTTGGCCGGCGTGCAGTTGGGTCTGAAGGTCCGCGCTGTATAAGATCTGCTCGACCAGTTCCGCTATGTTCAAAACGCGGTGAGCAGCGGATGCAGTCGACGATGGATTCCGACCATGTTTATTACTCGGATCTGAAGTTGAAGGCGACGGCCCTAAAGCAACTGGGTATCTGGCAAGCTGTGCATCGACTAGAGCCACAAGGGAATCCTTCCAAGCATGCCACCTACGCACAGACGTGAGATTGATGTTTCTAGCTGCCGCGTCCAAAAAGAGGCTACGCCTTTCGCTCAAACTAGGGCCAGATGTCGCGCTGTACTCGGGGCTCTCAAAATAGGCTGCCGCGTCAAGCAATCGGGCTCGTAGTTCCAGAGGAATGGGCGATGGAGAAATTAGGGTAGAAATGGCCAATGGATTAAATGGGGTAGTGGTCAATGGAGCCTCGATGCCAAACCATTTGAGCAAAAGGTTGTTTTCCGTAGCAGCATCGCTTGCCTGCAGGGGGAGGGTGGTGTCTGCCATTCTAAGAGTGAGCTAGAGGGTGATGTCAGGTTGTCGGTGGGTCGCGCGGCGCTACCTCGGTCACACGCTGACTAATCCACTAGCCGGAGCTCGAACAAAACTCTCCGCGCCGCCGCCACCCTCTCTTCTTTTCCATATAGAAAGTTGCACCCACGAAATTTGACCTCACTCTTTGTTCCTCTACAAGATTGAAGTTGACATAAGCTGGGGAGAACGAACATCTTTGCCCCCAAGAACTGCCTGCCCCTACCGAATGGGCTGTCGGTCCCGTGGCTCCGAGACATTCCCTTAAGAAATTTTCATCATTGCGACGTCTCCCTTCGCCTCGAACGATACCGACACGTATACGCACGAGTGACACGATGGATGCATAAGCGCGACCAAGGCGGTAGAAGTGATCGCTTTGGAAGCGCTGTACAATAAGATGGCCCGTAAGACCAAGGCGATTGACCACATGGTCAATCGCATGAGCAAAGTGCGGCTGGTGGATGAGCGCGCTGCCCCGCCGCCCGATGCTCAAGACGATGCGCAGGAAGATGACAAGAAAGCTGGGAAGCGCCAGCCCTTCCGCTTCTTTGATCTGCCATCCGAGCTGCGGCTGCGCATATACGAAGAGCTCTTAGTCTTCCCCAAGACCATCGACCTCGACCCTACGAACTACCGCACCGTCGCCCCCGCCCTCCGCCTCTTCCTCGTCGACCACCGCATGCACGACGAAGCGTCGCGCGTCTTCTACGGTCGCAACACCTTTCGCGTATTCCCCATCCACGGCCGCTACATAAACCGCAAGCACCCGCTACTTGCATGGTTCCCTCGCAAATACCGTGCGCTCCTTACGCGCTTAGAGCTGCGACTGGGGCCGGGCTTCACGAAACCGCCGAAATGCTGGGTCGTGGATAGCCGGCTGGGTCTGGCAGCGGTGAAGAAGGTGTACAAATTGAAAATCTTTGTAGAGATTGACCCGGCATCGAACGAGGTGTTTGAGGGCTGGCGCGTGGGGAACAACTTCTATACCGAGTACTGCGTCGGGCTGCTGAGAGGCTTGCTCGCGCAGGTGCCGTCGATTGACGACGTAGAGTTTGACGCATATCCAAGCGTGTCCAAAGACAGCCCGCTTCTCAAAGGCTTGGTAGAAGAGACCAGGCTCAATCAGAAGCGCGTTGCCTGGGGCCCTGAGAGGGGCTGGGACAAGATTGTCGAGGTTGACCTGGCCAGCGTGCTGCAGAAGATGGGGCTTGGCGCTCAATGAAATGAGTCTGCCCTGTAGCATTCGCGCTGTCATGCTATGCGCTGCATATGTCGCGTCACTTTATGTATATTCATGTATCATTCTTCAATGCTTGATTCGCATACCCAAAGTTGCTTGTTTAGTTTGCTCTTTCCCTTTTTAGTCGCTGTAATAATGTTCGGGAATGGGGTGTGGCGTTCAGCCGCGCCTGCCCAACTGGGTGTGAAAACTCGGCCCCGCTCTCGGCCTGCCTACAACACCCGTTCTGGTCCCGTAACCTCATCGTTCCCCACAAAATCTCGTGCTGATCACACAAAACAGCCTTGCCTCTGTCGGAGCACAATGCAGGAAGGACCTGGCAAAGATCAAGTTGCAGACTACGAACCAGCGTCACATACCGCGCACATCCCTCACACCACCATGTCTGCGCCCGCCCACGCCGTAACGGACGACGACACTTACGTATACGCACTTTTCGACCAGAGCGATTTCGATCAGTCCTCGCAGAAGCCGCCTCCCTCCTGACACCAATAACACGGCGCGACTTGACAAGGAAACCGACACGGGTGTTCGGTCCTCGCATTCGCTTGGTTTACCAACGCATCCTCTTCACATACAAAGAGAATGTTTGTAATATGAACGTCACATTCAACTCTCATCACGTAGACTCTTCTGACTTCACTGCGCGCACGGATGTTGTCGTATCCGCTGCCGTATATATTGGGGCGTGTCCTAGACTTCGACTCTACTCCACTAGACCTCGCGCTTTTTCTGTCAGAGCTACTACTCCTCCATATCACCAACAACTACCAGAATTGTACGTAATCAAAGACATGAGCGCGACAAACGACGATTCCGCTTCCGTGATACCTGGCCAAACCATGTCGATGCAGTCACACCCCATCAACCCAGAGGCACCGTCTCTCTTGACAATACCAGGCGAAGTGCGCAATGCTATCTTCGAGGCTCTATTCGAGTTAGGCCACCCCATTACAATCTCCCGCGATCGGTATGCGTACGGCGACTCCTCATGTTACCAGTCGGGAGACGTACGTGGCATCGCGCTACTTCGAACATGCCGTCAAATCCACGAGGAAATTATTGGTATTCTCTACAGTCGGAATATCTTCTGTGTAAGTCTGGCGGACGACCCCTACATTACTGATCCAATTCCATGGGCAATGGCCTGGCTCGACGATATTGGGATACAGTCTTCCTCTGTTCGACATCTTCAAACTCACATCTACAACGTATTCCACGGTCGAGATGATGTCATCAATATATCACCTATACTACATCAAGTATGGGAGCCTGATCATGCGGCTTTGAAGGTTGAACTTCTCCCTAGATGGTATCCGGAATGGGACCCACCAGGTGACGATCTTAACAGAACAGCCGAGATAAACGCTGTCTCATGTAACAGGCAGATGGCTACAATCATTGATGATCCGTCAGGAATGATCAAAAGGTTCTGTTCCGTGCCTTCATTACTGCGAGAAGTTTGCCTAAACTTCCTGGACCACCATGCTCACCTTCATTACTATGAATCAACTTACAGCGGCGACCGCCCGCTAGCTATGGACATTATTGATATAGTCGACAACGGTGCTGAGAGTACGTTTTCGAAAAGAAGACCGGTTACGGACATCAAACGCATTATGTCGTCCTACGAAATTCGAAACTCCATCTTGACGATGGCATTGTGTCCAGACGAGGACATCATCTTTGACCTCACAAGCCGGACAACAAACGTGGATGTGGCTTACATCGTATCGGTCACTACTTGCTTGACTGGTACACACGAGGTCGGTTTCCGGGAAAGAGCGTTCAGTGTCACATTGACAAGTATGAGTACCCTGGCAGCTTTCACCGCGGAACTAAAGATACTCCGCGGACTGCCTCTCGGAAGTCCTATGAGCATAATCATTCGCTACTATCTGGACAACAATGCCTCCTTGGACGATGTACGGCTCGATGCTCTCGCGCTTTTGCATGCGACGGGGTGTCGCTACTCATCAAAGCCTGTGTGCATCGAGGTCTACAGCAAATCTGGCACTACCCCAATCAAGAGCTACACTATCTCTCTTGAGGATATACGACATAGCATCCTTCTCTTCATGTACCAGATCTTCAAGAAAACTCCAGAGCATATGCTAGCGCAACTACCAAGGATCTGGACGAGTGGCAGGGGCGAAGCGCGGGAAGCCGAGTGGGACTTGAGCAAGTGTTCTATCAAGCCGATCGTAAATGAGAACGTGGGAATCAGCTCGACAATCATTCAATCACGCTACGAAGAGATTAAAGGGATGTTCGAAAGCATGCTCACTCCAGGCAATTTTCCGCCTGACTCTATGGGTGATTCCGCAATACGATTGTGGTACTAGGTAGGCGATGGAATTTGCTGCATACAGTCTATCAAATATGAACAAGTCAAGAGTGACTACAATAATGTATACTTCAAACTAGAAATTAACATGTGGTATACTCAATGCGACATGCATCCGGTCGTCCCTTGATGCCAGGTGCTGTGGATTAAAATAATAGCGTCACCGCACCTCATACAACTAAGTACTACTGAAACATTGAGAGGCAATATAGACCTCTATAGTAAAATTTGCTATATTCAACACGTATTTGGTCCCTCTTCCGAATTGGCTGACCTTGTCAATCGTCAAATACACCAAACACGTACATCGAGCCTCGGTACAGTGCAATCTAATCCAGCTTCGCAAACCTTCCTTCGCGTAAGTACAGTTCCCATCGTAAGAAGTTCTGTGGTTATCGCTATCCATGACGTAGCTCTTTCCATTTGGTGCAGCAAACGGCCGCAGTCTTGGCAGTTGCCCTCTCTCACCTCAGAATCCTCGACTCTGCAAGCTTTTCCCACTAGCGGCGATTACCCTTCTTTCCCCTCTCACACACCCATTTCAAGATACTGATCGCCAGCGATACGGCGACTGAGACGATCCTCGCAGCGTGACAGCGAGCGACATGAGTGCGACACCCGGTACCACAGCCGGTGGCGCGACTCCCGCTACTGTCAGTGACGCAGAATCAAGCGACATGGCTGTCACCAGGATCGCGAACACGCAAAAAGACACGGAAGCGGCGACTGCAACGGACAACGTTCCGCCGCCAGTCTCGCACCCAATCGACCCGAATGCGCCTTCATTGTTGACTCTGCCCGGAGAAGTTCGCAACGCCATCTACGAGGCACTCTTCATTCACGAATATCCTATTCAGATCCATGCGAAGAACATCAATCGACTCGGCTACCACTCCGGCTACCGCTCCGACAGTATTATCTCCGGAACTGCGCTCCTCCAGTCATGTTGTCAAATCCAGTATGAGGCCACTGGTGTCTTGTACGCACGAAACGTGTTCCGTTTAGGGCTCCCCGAAGATGCGGACCAGCGTAGTGGCACTATTTGGGCTATGGACTGGCTTCGCATAATTGGCAAACAGTCGTCTTCTCTTCGCGTCATCCAGCTTGATGTCAACAACTTGCTTGACGCCGACGAAACCTTAGAAGTCCTACCAATACTGGAGTATACCTGGAAGCTGGAACACAAGAAAATGAACGTCCTATTTGTGGCACCACTCGAAGTGCACAGTAGTAAATCCTACTTCCAAAGCAATCGGGAATGGTCCGCCAGCCACATGGCTAGGATTAACAAAAGCTTGAGTACGCTCACCGCTGATCCCTCGAACCTTCTTAGGAAGTATTGGAATTCTAAAATGCTGTTGAGGGTCGGACTCGATACAGATGAATCGGAAGTATACGTTTCATACCGCCATAATGACTCTGGTGGTGGTAACTGGATGACGAAAGGCCGCATGTCAATCAGCGATGAAGGCGAGCTGCGTGTGATCCCGCCGAACAGGAACACAGAGTTTTGCGACCTCATGAGTATATACTCCGTTAGGAAGAGGCTTTTCGATTTGTTCCAGCCCCCAGGAGTTGAACTAACCTTCGACTTGGCGCACCAGACTACAAACAGCAACCTTAGAAGCCTAGCTGGGGTGAATCGTTGGTTACGTCACGAAGCCATCTCAGAAGTCTGCGATGTCAATTCAACCTTCAACTCAGCAACTTCGACGCCGAAATACAACTTTGCGACCGAGCTGGAGAGATTCACAGCCATCCGGCTACGGGGTCGCCCACGCTACTTTCATCTGTATTTCGACCTACCGAAGCACTCTACTCTTGAAGATGTTCGGTTCGATGCACTGCTACTTTTATCTGCGATGGATTCGGTCAACCGCAAAGTCCATTTAGAGATCGAGGTACGCCATCCGCTTGATTCTGAGACACCAAACCACTGCTTCACGTTGTCCCTAGACCAACTAAAAGTTGGCGTTCTTCTCTTCATATACGATTTTCTGAAGACCTATCCCAACCGTGCCGATCTTCCGTGCCCTACTATCTGGACAAATGGATTTGGTCAAGCGAAAGAAGCGTCATGGCAAAATGAGCTCGGGTTGGACACACTGGTTAATTCATACCTGGACAACAGTTATAAGGTGACTGGGTGGGTTGATTACAAACTCACGAATGACTGGAATTGGCTGGTCAACAGTCATCTCGGTCCTTGCGTCAAGGGCTCGTTGTTAGAGTTCCTTAGGAAGTCACACAGGTGGGGATATAGGTATGATCTGACGATATTATCGGGATAATTCGCTAATGCGTTCTAGCTTTTCGAATGCGGATTCGAGCTCTCCACTGCGTTTTTGAAGCTCTCGTGTCAAGGGGGTTCTTTCCATCGCACCAAGGACGAATTGGGATACGGTGGAGGTTCAGTGATGACTTCCGTTCCTCTGAAACCCACTTTCCCGCTCCTCGGTCTATCACATGGTTTTATCGTGCTCGTTCTTCATTTCTGTATTCCCCAGCAACTGGTCCTCTGATCATGGGAAGGAACTTGCCGCACACGAAAGCGTTTGAGTTCGTTACCTCTTCATCAGCGAAACTGCAAGCATCATAGGATGTATGGATGTGTCTAGCTCGATAGCGCAAACGATATAGCAACCAATTCATAAAAGAAAAGTAAGAGTCTTAGTCCTTGAAACGAACAAACAAGATCGAGCCGAGGCACGGGAGTTATCGGATACGTTTGCAGGTATAAAGTGATCTCTATGAATCCGATGGCGAGCTTCTGCATGGTCGCATTATATATTGTTATTGGTCTACACGACGAAGACGCAATCGCAGGCACTGACATAGGTTATGGAGGCGCGTTGCATACGCGGATGACACGTATGAACAATGATCGCGGTTCTGCTGCTCCTAGAGACTAGGCAATTAGGCAAGCATCAATGTCGTTGTGGACTCGCATTGCGACGTAGGATGCTCGTGGGCTGCGCGCGGGGAAGGAGTGCACGCGACAACCAATCACAGCACAGCAGACAAATGATGACGCGTTACGTCATCGTGTCACTAGTCGAAGTCGCGCTTTCTGCCTTTCCGACGACACCAACAACACAACAGCTCAGCGCCCACTCGTAGTATCGCGCGAAGGCATTTTACTTTCCACACTTCAAAGGCGAGCGTACAAATGTGGTATCTTTATTGCACTCCTATCATCGGTTCTTTGCGCTGACAACGCCAATACAACTCTCCGAGCTTCTAGCCGCATACTGAAATCGCGCCTCCGGAAAGCATCTCGCTGGCTATCGCCGCGCACACGGAAACGAACGAACCCTTAAGCCATATCTCTTCTACTCAGCTGCCGCCCTCACGAACAAACGCTCGATATCGGGAAGCATGTCCAATGGGTTCTCGCTCGCATCCAATGCCTGGTCCTCGACAAATCCGCCATCCCTGTCAACGTATGGCTGGGGGTCAAGTTCCCAATTCTGGTTCTTACAGAATCTAGCCAGACGAACGTTGCAGAACACAATCGACTTCAGTTCTTTGATGAGGCAGCGCTGACTGCTGTCACAGGAGGCGTCCTCATTCGGATCCTTGAACATGCGTACGATTGCAACCTGGAGAAATGGCTTTGCCGCTACGATATCGTCCATTGCACTGACAAGTCGTCGTCCGCAACACCTCACATAGCGATGCAGACCCCACGCCACGCGGCGATACCGGATATACTGGGGCAGGACGAATGTGATCTTGTTGAGTCGATGGGCGCCCGCCAGCATCCAAGCCAGACTATGCCACGAGTCTTCGAAGTCTAGTCGTGGGAAGCGCTTACGGAGTTTCCCTTTTGTCCACGGATACGGGAAAGGCATGTGGTCGTATACCTCGTGTGTGCGAAGCCAGGTGTGTGGGTTCCAGTGTGAGGCCATGCAACCGCGGTCCTCCGAGCGGCAAGGTATAGCCATGGTCATGGATTTCATGAAGCCCAGGTTCCTCGGTCCAATCTTTGTCGCGAACGCATACGCTACCATGTGGCCGTTGAGACCCGAGAAGCGGAACTCATTGTTGCCGTAAAAGACCTCGGTGGCTTCAGCGCACACTTGCTTGCATGTACGTAGCAAGCCGAGGTTGCGTGCGCCGCGTCTGCCGAACATTTTTCGAAGTCTAGACCCGTTGCGTACTCTTCGGTAATACTCGGTATCCATGTCTCCGGTCTCTGGCCACAGCTCGATCGGCTCGTCGAATTCAAGGGCATGCCCGTAGATCATCAGACGGATTTCGAGAGGCATATCGAGGAAGCCGACGTTTTGAGGCTTGTTCTACAGACTTGTGAGTATAACATTATGTGTCCAGATCCATAGGGTACTTACCACAGGCTTCTGGAACTTACGTTCACCGTAGATCTGAGTATATCGACGGTATGGACGGAGGTCGTCACAGGAGTGGACAAGGAACGCACGCTTAGCGTTCAGCTTTCCCATCTTCTCGGTGTGCGTTGCTTGCGCCTCCTGTTCTCGCTTCAATCTCGATTCTTCCTTCTTTTTTATCTCAGCGCGCGCTATCTGCACCTCCTGCTCGCGCTTCAGTTGAGCTTCTTCTTTCTTGATCTCCTCCTGAGCCGCTTCCGCTTGCTCAGGAGCCTTGTGCATGGTCTCGGCATTCTGTTGCGGCTCACCACCCGAACCTGCTTGAGCAACCTTCCGAGCTTTCCGCGCTCGCCGTCTAGCCGATGCACTCATCTTCTTGCGCTCGATATTCTCGGGCAAAACGCTACCTGGAGAAGTAGACATGCCTTGGGTCTTTTGCTAACGTGTAGAAATCTTCGGGTTGGTTGACTGGTTCGTTGAGATCTTGACCAGGGCCCGGAAGCGGGCGGTCATATATAGGGGTGCAGTACACTCACGCCAAGTCTGTGCATCACGCATTAGGCTCCAAGTCGAAACCTCTGATCGTTGTGGTCGAACTACGCTCGCCACTGGGGGCCAGAGAACCTTCGACTATTTCACTCAGAGCCCGATTTCCTCAGGAGTTCATTCGGTAGCGAGCGGAGCCTGTACCGTACCATCAGCGTCCGACACCAATAAGTTTTTAGGCCTTGACCCAACTTCTGCGGCGTGCGATACACCATCACGGCACAACAGCAAAAGAATCAAGAACATTTGAACGATGAACGTTACGTTGTATTGCAATAACTATTCAAGCATCCTCAGTTCCCTCCTGACTCCCCACCCTGACCTCCATTGGTAGTGCAGTTAACCTGACTCTCAATCCCGTCAATGTTCAAGCAAGTGTACTGGTTCGTTCCACTCGGGCTCGTAACATTAACATTCTCGATGTTGATGTTTGAGCAAACTGCCGGGCTGGAGCAGACCAGATACCCAACAAGCGGGTCGTACTTCTTGCTGGTTGTGCCGTGGAAGTTCTTGACTGTGATGTCGGAGATGGTGAGGTTGGAGGGGAACTATTATCACGTTAGTTTTCGAACAAGACTTGGTTGGTGGGAAGTAAGAGCGTACCTGGTTGCAAAGAGTCAAGTTCTTCTGACCGTAGCATTGAGTAATCTCAATCGCGTAGTCGACGTTCGAGATGGTCATGCCGTCGTACGTGATGTTCTTGACAGCACCGCCACCACCTCCACCCTGAAGATCACCGGAGAGAGCGGAAGAAGCACCAGGCCAGACCTTGATACGCGCGCCGTCCGATGCATTCGACATACTGATGTTGTACACGTAAATGTTCTCGACGATATCAACTTCGCCTGGGTACTGGCCAAGAGAACCGACACTAATACCGTGGCTACCGTTGCAGATCAAGTTCTGAACAACGATGTTGGTGCTGTTAGGCTTGAACGACACGCAATCGTCGCCGTTGTCGATGTGCGAGTTCTGGATGACAATGTTGTCTGAACGGTACGTGTCCCAGCCATCCGTGTTTTTAGCGGGGTTCTTGCTCTTGCTGCCACCGAAGATGTCGATGTTGTCGAATACAACGTCGGTGGAGTTGGCAACGAACGTGTACCACTGCGGACTGTATCTGAACTTTAGATCAGAGATAGTGGCGCCTTCTGCGCCGATGACACCGAAGAGGATGGGTCGCAGGATGTAGATATCCTCGGCGTAGAGGTCATACCAGGCCTGGCCGTTTCCGTCTAGGGTGCCGCCGCCGTAGACATTAACATCCTTGCCGCCGAGCTGGAAGAAAGTGGTGGCGTTTTGGTAGATTTGCTTGAAGGAGTTGGCTTGCCAGTAGTCTGTGTCGTTTGTGAATTGGATGGAGCCTTGGATGTCTTTTTGACGGTTAGCGCTGCAATATCGTAGCTTTTTGAAGGCGACATACCCAGATCAATGCTGTTGAGGAAAGTGAGATCCAGCGCGGTTCCAATGGTAAACTTCTGGTCCTTCGGGAAAACGACATGACCGCCGTTGTTGCACTGCTTGATCGCCTGCAGGATGTTGGCGGAATCATCCTTGCCGTTTCCGAGAGCCTTGACGTTGCAGGTCTTGGTTCGTGGCGGCGATGCCGGGCATGCCTTCTTCGGGTGATAAGGATACGCCGGATGGTGTGGCCTCTTCGACGCGACTACCTTGACGCTTCGCTCATCGAGAGGTGTCGATAGTACTGCTGATGCTTGCAGCAAAGCGCACGTGAAAAGCTCGGTGACGCGCATATTGGCAAACGTATATGTCGATTTTCTTAATTGACAAGCTGGGGGTCAACGTCTGTAGCTCACAAAGCATCGCGACCCCGACCACCTAATATACCCCCATCGCATCACCCCCAGCCGTCCGAGCCGCGGCCTTGGCCCTGGAACCAGCTCAAGATACCCGCTCCCGTAAAATTGGATGGCGCGGAGGAACTCTTTCGATCATCCCCTTCATCCTGGGGTCCCCTCACGGCCACAGGTGGCTAAACGGGTCATGGCTGTGGCGCTAAGCCAAGATCAGCGAAGCTTTCCCCACACTCCTGGGCGCTTGGCCAGCGCCATTGGTGGAGTTTCTGCGACCCCAGATTTCCGGTGCGTGCTCGCCCCACGACAAATCGCAAAAGACGGTCTACGGCTTCTACGCGTCAACGGCTGTGTTTCTGGGGTGAGCAGCTGAGTGAACGTGGCGGGCGAAGATTTTGCCGCGGAACGGCCGGCGTGGTTAAGCAAGTGGTGGCTGCTTGGAAGGGCTGGGCTGAGGTGCGATGCTTCTTCCATCATGGGGATGGGCTTACCGCGATTACTTATCCGGGCGGGCTCCGGTAATTTCGTACTTGTTGTATACCAACCCCTTCTTCTCCTGAGGTCTTCAACAGTTATCTGTTTATCCCGTAAAAAGAACTGGATGAACGCAAAAGCTACTTATGAAATACCCAGAGCCAAGCCCACTGTCTTCGTTCCGTCCCGAAAGCTTAGCAGCAGGATTTCCCTGCCAATGCAACGACGTGCGAACAGCCATCGAGAAGAGAAATATTGAGACACCTAACCGTTCAGATGGTTTAGTCACTACGTTCTATCCTCGATCTCCCCCAGTAGACGTTTCAGACACGTCATGTTGAGATATCGCTATCATTCGTCTCACTCCGAAGTGTAAGCTGGACGGGAATACCATGTGAACTCCGATCATAGGACCGATACTAGAATCATGGCTTGCATACCAGCACCGCGGAAGTAAAATGTGCATCCGCTGGACCAGGGTCTGCGTCATTCGCTTGAGCCTGCCACGACGTCTGTAGAATTGACGAGACGACAGCTCGTCTCTTGGACCATCAACTACATGTGAGGAATAACGCGGGATGAGAGAGGATTCAGTGTGAAATCACGTTGGTGAGAAGGAATGAAAAGCCGGTAGAAGAAAGAATTGCTATGCTACGACGAGAGATAAGCTCCCAGTGGCGGTAGGCCGACATCGCTATGCAACGATTGAGGTGATGCACTCAATATACATCGTAACGCTACCCAAAACCATGCTATGCAACCCGCAACTCCCAACCCCAGCCGAAAGCAGAAAACATTCATACAATACAGAGGAAAAGAACATTGACCAACATTCATTCCATCCCCAAAGCAACACTTTGCCTCATCTTCCATCCCGGCGATCCTCTCAACCAGTGTAAGAGCGATAACCCATGCCACCCGCGTCCTCAAACACACACCCAGCCATACCCATTCCCATCCCAACATCCTCGCGCCAGCCCCCCTGATCTACAGGCGTCCTCGGCTCATCCGCACTCGGACTAGGACTATTAGAAAACAAACCCCCATCAGGACTCTGCTCAAGCACATACGCCGTATCTCCAATAGGCAAACCGTGTGACAGAGGTTGCGATAAGGAGTGTGCGGAAATGGTGCGCGATAGATCGTGGTGGTGTCGCGACATTGGACTACCCGGGTAGGAGCGTGTGGGTGGTGAGAAGAGATCGAGATGGGCGTGGTGGTGTGGACCAAGGACGTTGGCGTTGGGGTTATTGAGGGTGAAGTCATCGGTCCGAGAAGAAGACGACGACGGGTAGCCAAAGTCCACGTCGCTTCCGTAGTATGGGCTCGGAGGGTAGGCGTCGGCTGGTACACTGCGATAATTCGGATCGAAAGCCGCGGGCACAGATCGAGACATGTACTGGTCGTTGCCATTACGGTATCCGTCTTGCATTCTTCCACTTCGTTTCATCCTTGCTGAACGACGTGCAGCTTGACCGCCTTTGGCGCCGGAGGCTTGTCGCTGGGGCTGTGGTTGCTGGGTCCGGTGGCCGCGCTTGTTGGGCTGCTTGCTGCGGTAGCGGGTTGTGGATTTGACGCCTTCGCGAATGGCTTCGTCGGTCAAGCGCCACATGAAGCCTTTTCGGGACTCTTCTCCTGGTTGGTCGACTTTCTCGAAGGCCTGGGCAGATTAGTATGTACTAGAGGAGGGAGGTAGAACGGTGGAGGAAGAGCATATATGACTTACCCCATTCATTGACAGATTGTGTCGAATGCTGTTCTGCCAGCCTTTTGTCTCCGAGGCGCTGGCTTTGTCGGTGTTGGCCTTGAACCACTCGTAAATATCGCGGAGGATCATTGTATTATTGGGCGCGTTGAGGAGGGCTTGGTAGATCAGCTGCGCGTAAGGCTGCTCTTTATCGATGACGCCGTCTCCAGAGAGGTCATGGGGATGTCGAGGGGGATCGTCGTGAGGAGTGGATGCGCGAGTCAGGTCGGAGTACGGGCTCTGGTAGCCATTGGAATCCTCGACCTTCATATGCGCACCATACGGATGATGGTCGAAGTCGTTGCTCAGTTGCATGAGCTGGCCGCTGATCTCATGGTCTGACAAGTCCATAGCGTCAAGGTGGTTAGGCGGTTCGATGTGGTATGCGGTGGGTGGATGCGAGTCGGTCATACTGATATCGGCAGGAAGGCCAGAGAGGTCAACGCCGGTGTAGGATCGGGGGCAGCTTGCGTTGGAATACTGAGTCGGGTACGCGATACCGAAGTTGTCGTTGTAGGACATTCCGTTCTCGGCGTAGTTGTAGAAGTCTCCGGTACCAGGTGGAAACGGGTTAGACGCATTGTAACCCGCGCCATTCTGGGTCATGGAGTTGAGGAGGAAGTTGGTCGGCGCAGTCCACTGCATTGGCTCTTGGTCGTCGAGGCTCATGGCAGAGTGCGGGGTAGTGTCGTTGTTGGAAGGTGCAGGTCCCTGATCGGAAGGTGCGGTGAGCGGGACCTCAATAGGCAGTCTGGGGGAAAGAGACAACACCGGGTTATGGGTGTGAAAGGGAAGCGGGGCACAAAAAGCGTCTTTGGAGGACTGGAAGGGCTCACAAAAGGCGTCTTGAGATGACTGGACGTGGTCGAATTCAGCACCCACGTCTGCGGAGGAAGGCCGATGAGGTGATTGCGCATGTGGCATAGCTGTTGTGTTGTCGGCCTCCCAAGGGTCTGGACGGTAGAGATAAGGAACGTATCGATACGAATACGCCAACGTGTTGTGTGAAACCAAAAGACTGGCAGAAAACGAGAGTAGTAAAAGGCGATGCTCACAAATGAAGCGGCAGTCAAGACGTTAACATGCTCCGCCATGCCCCGGCGAATGGGATTGCCTGGAAACCTGGTCATTGTCACCTAGACGATTCTTGCGCGGGTTCCGACTGCCAGCACACCTGCAGGCTTGACGCTGCAGCGTCGCTTGTATGGACAAACAAAGGATGAGATCTCATCGCAAGGACGGCGGATCTGAGGACCCTGGCCGCAGGCGCAGCTGCAGACGTGATGTCACGGAGCGACAAGTACCGGTACAGCATCGCCGCCCCACGGCCCGAGACGCAGCCTAGAGACCTTCATTGCACTACTCCATCAACCAGTGTGAATGACTCTCTGTACCACCACTGCAGCCAACGATTGCCTGCTTGACACCGGCATACGGGAAGGCGCATACGTCCACTCATAACATCGAAAGCGCATACGGGGTGGCCCACTTGTAACATCGAAACGTCCATCGGCCTGCACGGCAGTCTCCCGCTCTTCGATGTTCCTGTCCGGCTTCTGTGCATGTCCTGGAAATTGTCCGAGAGCAAGAGGCAAGATGTTGTTCATTGTAGTTGTCAGCATACGCGTCCAAGCTATTCTTCCACGCTGTAACAATCGTCCTGACATAGGTGACTTCCTTCAAGGATCTCTATTCCTCGCCTGCAAACTCTAACCCAAAAAGGCCATTAACGGCATATGTTCTGCAGGCGCAAGGATGTGACATGATGTGCTGCGCCTGCAAAAAGGCAGCAGGCGAGCAACCGTTTGGGAGCAGACCCCATAGAGGCCTGTAACACGACTTCTACCATTTTCCTTCCGGTGAAGTTGATTCGTAGTCCTTGCCCAAGCAATAGTCATCCGTGATAGGCCCTCGTCACGGCCCTGTCACCGCTCGAAGAGGAGTGTACACCGCCAACGGACCCGGAGACGGAGAGGCTGCACGTTGCGAGGATATGAGAGCCGGTAGAAACGTCACCGCCAATGTAGTGATCACGGGTGATGGCGCAACGAGAGAATCCTGGATTTGATACTCAAGAAGCACCTATCGATTGAGAGGGTCCTGTGCAACGTCCGCCCTATTTCTTATCCTATCGCGCCGTTTGGTGTAAGAGGAGCCAGGTACAGCGGGGTAGGCTGTGAAGCGTCCATGTCACCCAAAGGGGGCTTAGCTACTTTCGATAGTATATCTGCCACGATGTTAGTGTGATGCCAGTGTGATGCCGTTCCGGTCATGCGATCTTGACATACCTTCTTGAATTGGAAGTGGAGTTGCAAGATGCCCTGCATTGCGTTAGCCACGTAGCTAGTACAGTGAGTATGACTGGACGTACCTTGTCAAAGCTACTCTTGAACCCACGTTCTCTTTTGGCGCTGTAGTCCCATTCCTTGTCGATGATGCGGAAGGCAATATCCTCATAGGGCGGGCCGGCAATGAACCGGATGAGGCACGTGTCGTCTTCACCGGCCGGCGCGAAGGACTGGCCCTTTTTGCGGCCGTTCTCCCGTTCGATCTTGTAGGTGGGTGCTTTTGATTTGTCGATGAGGTCGGGGTAAAAGATGTTGAACTTGTAGCCCTGTACAACCTTTGGTGGCGGGTTGTCGTGATCGTAGTGCGTTTGGTTGTACTTGTTCCATTCATAGCCCATCTGGACGCGGTTGAAGTAGCGGGGTTTCCGGGG